AAACATTCAGGATCAAGGCGTCTACACCTTGTCACCAGCATACCGTTACAAACATTTGGATATCGAACAAAGATAAAAGTGGCACTGGCAAGACAGTCTGCTTGTGAATCCACTGCCTCGCGTCATAACCGGACAGTGAATCCGCGGATAACTCAGCACCAAACACACTGAACAGAGCTCGACTACGAGACGACAGCAGACGAGCCACTGGTTCCGACTGCGAGCCAAGTCATGCAACGTCTCGAGCTAAACACAAAACGAGTTACGTGAACCCCAGTCTGAAAGGTGACGCGGTCCCACAGCACCCAGTTTAATCGTCAAAGACTTCATTCCCCGTCAACGTTTGCCCACAGCGAGCCTTGTGCTATCCTACATGAGGTGCAGAAGACAAGGCACGTCATACTGCGAGAAACAGTGCAGTAAACAGTCGTAATTAACCAAATTAGAAGAAATATTAAATTCAAGAAGGAACACTGTGGTAGGCTGTTTGTGTGTACAGCACTGTTCATGAGGCTGGTGAATAGTTAGTGGTTAGTGTATTACTTTGAGAGGTGGAAGTCAATCTGATTGATTCAACTTTAGAAGACCAGCGATTTACATGAACAGGATGAATGTGGGGAATTCGGGGAATTCCGAATGAAATATACTATACACAGGTCGCCGTTTGACCTTTGTTAAAAACTGAGATGACCGTTGACAACTGTCGGTCTTAGTGCATCATACGATGTTGAATAGAGCGATTAGTGTGACCACAGTCGGGTCGCGGCCCGTAGTCTTAAGGATCACAAGCCTGCCTTGTAATCCTGAGGTTGCGGGTTCGAGGATGCGTAGTGGACCGGGCGACCATCGCAGTATCCTTTGCAACGTGTAGCTGGTGGCGGTTGCGCGGCAGCGAAGCGTCGGTACTGCGCGCACCGGCGTGCTGTTGATGTTTTATTTTCGGCCGCCCCTATAAATGATGCAGATATGTTATTGGATCTAAGTAAGCACCGATAAATCACCTCTGTGCCTGGCGGGCATATGGAATTTGCACACTGAACACAATCACCAAAGACTTGCAAAGGATCGGTGACGCGCTAAGAGTGAATGGGTATCCAAGTAAATTCATCCTCAAACATTTGAAAGAACGCATAATAAAACCACCGAGGATGAACGTACCCAAGGAAGAACTAATTGTGCATATTCCTTTCAAAGGCGACAGTACGGCTGATTCCCTGTCCAAACGTTTGAAAGACGCTGTTGGAAAGACTTATTTCGCGGCTCGCGTACGCATGGTATTTTACACCAAGCCTTTATGCGCAAAAGATTTGAAAGACAGGCTGCCTCCGGTGACTCGATCAATGCTTGTTTATCTTTACTCGTGCTCCTGTGGTGTACGATACATGGGTCGTACTACGAAGCGTCTATCTCATGAGATTCGCGAACATCCCGAAGTGGTTTTACAAAGGCGGAGCGAGGTCTAGTTACAGCTCCAGCTTGTCTCACCTGCTAGATTGCGGTCACGCAGGGACGGAAAACGATTTCAGAGTCCTCTATACTATCCCTGAACGTCTCTCAAGCGGATTCCGGAAGCATCTCTTGTCTACTGCGGAAGCTGCCTACATCCGCCACAAGGCAGAATTGTGCGTATAAAAGCAGTTTGTACGTCCTTTACTTTTACCGTGCCCTACAACTTCGGCTGTGTTTTCCCCTATACATACTTCGCCACCTTCAATGACCCCGTGGTTTATTGATTTGTTCCTGTTGGAATTAATGATTTTGGCCAATGCGCAGCCCAATCCGGCACATTTAGCACCTTGTCGTCATTGTGTAATGCTTGAGTCTGATGAGAATTACCGAAAAGAATTCTTTACTCAGATTCTGCCTCCATTGATTTATCCTAAAAATACAGCATCCCGGGGAGTACATTCGGGAGATTCAACGAACAATTGTGGTAGAAGAGGTCTGCAGATATGGTATTCAAAACGCTCCACATAACATTAAAATGCTTTCGCTTTTGAACAGGACAACCGTTCCTCAACGCAGAGAACGACTGTGCTACGTTTTCGTCATGGTGCTTTGAACGGGCTGGAACAGTACTCAGCCGCAGACACTGAAAATGAGTATTTAGTCACATTTGTACATGCAATTGTCATGGTGACAGAAAGATTGTAGGGAAATAGCGGGTTATTTTTACCACAATTGTAGTTTGATCACCAATATCATTTATTATCCGTGCCTACAGTATAATTTGTACATTGTTAATGCTAAATAAAGCAATATGAAAAGTGTAGATGCATAAAAAGAAGTGTAGTTATTGATTGAATGGGTAATTTTAAAGCATTTTGTATGAATACACTGAGACGCGTAATCTCTTAATGTGAGTACCCATAAGGTTACAATAGCTTTACTATCAAACGTAAATGCTGTTATACCCATGGGTATGGGGAATCTTGCTAAAGCGATTGACCTCCGTCGAAGGACATCCAAGTGCATAATGGGGCAGAAGATCGGGTAACTGGAGCCAACAGTCATTAAAACCAGAGCCAACTGTCGCCGGAACCATGTGTATGAAACTGAAATAAACAGATTCCAAAAGTTGGGCTCACAAATAATGAGCGGAGAAATCAAAGTCATTGTGACGGGTCGCTCAAGAAGAGACGAAGGGTCAATGGTAGTTCATCAGGATTCATTTTGCTAGTTAATGAGTCTCGGTGGAGTCAAATTGACCTCTAGAATTCGAATGTTAGGAGGGGTTGTTACCGAGAGAAAACTGATGAAGCCGATCGACTGGTTTGAGTAATAGAAGGTCCGATTGCCGAAAAAATCAAACGGTTTGAAAGAAGTTCAGTGTAACGAAATTATGCTAAATGTCTGCAGATGGGTAATAGGGGACGAAACAGCGACCCTTTGTTGCCCAATGGAAATGATAACAATTTGTCTGGGTATACTTTTGATAAATTCAATCTATAAATATAACGACATAACAAAGTTGTCGTGCACAATGTAAAAGAACTGCTCGATTTTGAGTTCTGTTTTACGACACGCGGTATCAATTAGGTTCACGGTTTACGATGGAGCGAACCTCGGGCATTACGAGCACTGACTGGGATGACATCGGAAATGGAGCACTTTCGTGTTGTTCGCTTCAAACGCCGCGTCCCAACGTGGGTCGACATAACGATCGACACGAATTGGACTTGTGCGCGCTCGGTCAATAAAGTTGGGGTTATGTGTATCCCATTTATGAAATCTTCAGTGAGCGACAAGCAGGCCGACAGGTAAGTCTATCCAAGAAGTCAGTTAAGCCAGTATTGCGCATACGTCAGAAAAGATAGCTAAAGGACAGAAAAGGAAGACCTTGGGTTTGATATACCAACCTTCATTAAGAGGGTGCACAAAAAACGAAGAGGAATGTCAAAACATTGGCGGCAAAAGTCTGTCGCGCATTCGAGTATGCACCCGAGATGAGCGATCGTACCACATCGTCTTCATGGATGGAAGCCTAGGAGTAGACCACATCAGTGGATGGGGGCTCCAGCCGACATGGCGAAGTTGTGGAGTCGCTGGCGCCCCTGTACTCAGTTGTTATATGTGGCGATTGTTGACATTCAACCCGCATTAATTTTACCCGCTTTTATATCGACCCTATTAAACCTGCGTTCTACCGTCGCGACGAGACTGGACCTTAACGCGACATGATGGTTTGCGTGCCTCAGTGATCCAATGAGCTAGGTTGGGTGATGTTTTTGCACCTTCAGAGTCACTCATACCAGATTGGCCAATGGTTAGAGGCCTGAGAGACTCAGTATCCTGGCCCTCCAGATTGGGGTTGGTGTGAGGGTAGCTCCTTACTTCATAAAACGGACGCTCTGTAGCTCAGTGCCAACACTCCGCTACCTTGCGGTCAGGTTTTTAAACCGAAGGCTTTAGTTGAGAACCCTAATTGTTCTTCTGTGTAGGCCAGAGCAACTTGACAGTATTCTGCCCGTGCAATACAACTGCATGAACTTCTCTTCACACGATTTCGTGGTGCTCTGGCCGTCACAGAGGCGCCCTATCTGCTGCATCGAGCAGGGTGGACATGGGTTTGGATGCTACTGCTCAAGCCTTCCCGTCTTCTTATTCCCCCTTTTACGCTTTTCACCCTTATCGTCCCGTTCCATCTTCACTTTCATCCCCCCATTTTCAGTCCCCCAATTCTAGGCCCTCTCCCGACTTGCTTCAAATAGTCACTTGTCTTCTAGTTTCAACTCACACGCAAATGCAGGGCGCCGCTGATGTTCAGCCGACAAGCCCATAGTCAACCAAGCAGACAACGTGATATTATCCGTTTCCTTTTGAATCCTCGGCCTTCGCTAAGACTGGCATGCCTCAACTTGCACAGTTTGTTGCAGATTGGCTAACAGACAGTACTTGCCCGGACACTGGAGATCCTATTGGTTGGTGTTTCCCGACTATCTGGCTGAAGACCGAAGGATGATGAACACGTTTGGTTGGATACATTAGCTAACGTTGCAAAGAGTCGACCTCTGTGGCGTTTGTGGTGTGAGTCTCTTTGTTTCTCCCCTTCCTTGTAGCTTCCCCTCCAAAAACCATCAAAAATGTGATAGCAGCATTGTGTTAGTTGTTTATAGATTTTAAGTCTACACTGCTTAGTCTTACTTTTAATATTGTGGCACATTAGCTGAGGTGTTTCTCAACATCGGCTAAGGTGTATTTATGATGATGATGACCTGTGTTCTACCTCACGTCCATCGCCATTTTAAACTATTGTTAACAAAGTAATCGACTCCACCCGGATCACTGTATAATTGGACTGAACTAGAAAACCAGCACAACCCGGAGAACGACGGGTGGAGCAGACGTCGCAGTAAGGGTGCTTTTGGTTACGAACAACGGTACCTCTAAAGTGTTTTATTAGGAGCAAAGGCTGTTCATTAGGAGCCATGATGTTCCAATAGTTAGAAGTGAGTACTCGTATAAAGCGTTACATGAAAACAGCCAATGGATAGACCCACCTTGTACTCTTGACAGCGCTTTCTGAGGGCAACGAGAGCTCCAGAAGAGGACGCCACACCAGTTGCGAGTGGGTTTCGAACCATAGTCGGTGGTCTCTCTGCACTATCACGATTGGCGGTGTAAGACTCCGTTGATGGGGGCGCAGGGTCACCCATGTTGGTTAAGGGAAAAGTGTTCTAAAAACGGTGAAAAACGTGAGTAAACACGTAATGCCATAGCCTAACCCTGGACATGGAAATGGATTAGTCTGCATACGTGTGTGGATTGGAATTCACAACAAAAAGTGCAAACAACAACAACAACAACAGTAGTACATCAGCCGTTTGAACTGATGCAATAAAGTGAAAACGAGTGATGATAGATAAATATCAGAATACAATCTTACAAGAGCCAACTTCGAGGACAATGAAAAACAACTCCGAACACTTACCATTAAGGTGACACATTGTGGGGATAGTTCAGAGGCGAGGTACATCGTCATAAAAGGTGTTCAACAAATAGAAAATCAGTTAGAATGGGAACACTCAAGTGCGCTAAATATGCCCTTACCGCCGTTGGTGCTTGTGATGTCTTCTCAGATGCGCCAGCAGCAGCAATCGGAGGGGGCAGAGGAGGGAGTTCATCGAGGCTAACGATATTGCCCCTAGAAACGCGGGTCGCCAGTTCACCGAGATGCTGAATCACGCGCTCATAACGTTTTAATTTCGGTGAATCAGTTGGCTCGGTGGAACGCAAGTTTTCAATTGCCGAATAGTAAACCGCAACACGATGATTAATCTCATCCAATACCGCTGCTGAGGAAGACACCGATGTTAATCGTTGCTCGTTTGGTTCCGGATCGCCTCGTGAGACGAACGCTTCCAGTTCCGCGAGGAGTCTGGGATCATTTTCATCCAGATCTTCACTTGACCGCTAAACGAAAACAGAATAAAACCGCAAACGATTCGTTTGCCTGCATTTGCAGATTCATTATGCGGCGATATAAGTGATGCTCGATAATATGTAAAACAAAATACAAGCCTCACAAAGCAGTGATGAAGTTATTAAGCGACCTGCACGAGCTTTGATGAATTCAGTTTCAAACCTCGGAAATGAACGGTGACAAATAGACAAACATTTGTTTGTCTATTAAATTAGTGCTGAAAGGCGCGGGATAGGTGACGGAGGTGACAAACTACTCTGCGCTATACGCGGGACACTGAAAGGCTGTCAGCTCATGGGAAAGCAGAAAGCTGTGAGAATAAAAATCTGTCCAACCAGATTCAGTCCACTTAGACAACAATGGTAACCCGCTTGGGACGCTGACTTAGTGAGTTCAACTATCAACGAGATCCGACATGAATTGATTTAGTGAAGAGGGATAAGGTCTACCTCCATTATTGCTGAGAGAGGATGCCGGTTACTGCCTTAGCCGCTTTGTCCGACACCATTTGGTGCGACAAAGAACTACCTCCCGACTGGATGTTGTCAGCCGTCCTTCCCATCACTAAACATGGATAAGGGACATCCTTCGAAAACCATTGTGGCATCAGTCCTATCCAAATTATCTCCAAACTACCAACGCACATTTTTCTGAGGCGACCCAAAAACGTCAGTGAAACTTAGACTGGCCTTTGCCCCGGTAAAGAATGCATTTTGCGCAGCATACTTACAAACAGCCTACAGTATCGCACCCTGCAGTATTGACTTGATCAGACACAGTTACGACGATGTTTCGCTCTGAAACGGATGCCTGAAAAGTTTCCGTCTTGGTACCATGACTCCTATGGCCAAATGTTGGTCTACGGAAGACTCACTCCCCTAAAGCATAATGAGCGAAGTAAATCATTATTGCCATACTCTTTTCCCTTTAGATGCAACCTCATGATCGAAATAAACATGAATAAGTCCATACACTTCGGGGGTAGAGATTCCGAAAGGGAACTCGGTTGTTACACACAGAGAACGCGAGTGACGTAGCTCTTTTTACACCGAACTCAGCTACTATAAATGGAGATAGGGTGTTAGAGACATATCATGGTAATGTGCCTAACCAGACATTGGTGCACGGATTATAGGTGTAGAACCGAAATGAACTAAAGCAACAGTGATCCGAGAATCGGGCGATTAAGCGACTCATCAAATTCCCCATGGTTCTTCACCGGCATCTGTTGTCCCATCTGCAATTTTAGCGTATCAACCATATTTCGGAAAATAATACACCACTAGTATTGTATAAACCGGCGGAGCGTAACTGTAATCCAGTCGAGCTCATAGTCCGAGCCATGAGATCGAGCTTCTCTGAAATTGGGCTATTAGTCTACCAGATACGCACGAGTGGGCCGCCTGCCATCAAGCGAATACCATCTTGGAGGTAGTTTAGACCTCGGTAACAGACGATCAAACAATGGGACAGACTACTGACACTTTGTTCTGATCATCGCTTGTTTCTTTCGAGCACTAATTTTCGACACTCGGAGAGGCAGACTACTATCTGGCGCCCGGCTTCTCAAACGCAAGAATGGTCCTAGCTTGACCACATAGCGATAAGCTACAGATGGCGCGGAGGCGTATAAGACTGCCGTCTGTACTGGTCAACTTGTCTGGACTCCGATCAAGCATTGGTTCGCGCTAACTTATGCATGCGTTTCGTAGAAAACCCACAAGACCCCATGACGTTAGCCTAATACCACGCCTCCCTATCAACACTGCTTACCCCAGCTTCTGACGACGATCTGAATTCACAGTGGATGAGCATCAAAATCGTCTCCCGCATTGCCACCATTGATGGTTTTGGAGTTGCCCAACACCCGCCGAAAAGCTGGATTACTGCTGTTTCCTTGTCGCCGATGAACAGACGCCGCTCAGTCCCGTCCGATTCCAGCTGTAGGGAAGAGCTCCGATAACACAGTCGTCAGCAAACAGCAACATACGGATAGTTGTCTCACCGACTAGTTTTCGCACCGAAACGACGGATGTTCTCTTGGCGAGCGTTGGGTGGGAGTGTGGTTACGCCCTTCTCCCTGCTAAGATCCAGGACACCAATACGGATGATTCAGTGAACTTACCATGTGCTAGATCCGCTGCATTTCGGGTGAACATTTAATCGAAGGCTTTGGCTGAGGACCCGAGTCGTTCTTCTGTCAGGTGTGGGCGCCCTGCCAGTATCCTAGTTCATCCTCTTCGGAGGTTAGGAAGTGGTCGATGGCCCTCTTTGGTATGCACTTTGGTATGCCTTTGGTATGCCTTTGGTATGCACTTCGCACCTTCAAAATGCAAAGTGTTGCTGCAGGACCACCAGCCACTCGATGACCCCTTGACGCTTGCTAACGAGGAACTCGATGTGGTTGATCAATTCACTTATCTTGGCAGCTGCATCAGCAACGATGGGCGCATAGAAAATGACGTTAGCTCACGCATTGCAAAGGCCAGAGCTGCCTTCTTGAACCTGCGTCATCTTTGGCGACAGAAGGGAGTTTCCCTCCGTCTGAAAGGCCGTGTATACAAGGCCACAGTGAGGGCCGTTCTGCTCTATGGTAGTGAAACTTGGCCCCTTCGGTCTGAAGATCTGAGGCGCCTTCAAGTCCTTGATCATCGTTGTTTGCGAAGCATTGCTGGTGTCGGATGGCACCAGCGTGTCCGCAACGATGATGTGCGTAGGCGAGTACTAGGGGGTGATGATCATGCTAGCTCCCTAGAACAACAGATAGCACTGAATAAGTTACGTTGGCTCGGGCACGTGCTACGTATGCCTGGTCACCGCTTACCTAGGAGGGCCTTGTTCAGTCTACCAGGTGTAGGATGGCGCAAGGCTCGAGGTGGACAGAAGTTGACTTGGCAGCGGGAAATGAAGTCACTGACGACCAAACTGGGTGCCGTTGGTCCGTCTCGCCTTCCGGGTTGGAGTCCACGTGACTCACCTTGTGCTTGGCTCGAGACTTTACAGGACATGGCTCGCAACCGACACCAGTGGCGCGTCTGCTGCCGTCTCCTAATCGGATTGTCTGTTTAAAGTGTGTTTGGTGCTGAGTTATCTGCGGGGTAATGGCTGATTATGACGCGTGGCAGTGAAAGCCGCAAGGAAGCTGTCTCGCCGATGCCGCCTTATCTTTGCACGATAGCCAGCTGTTTGTGACGGTATGTTGTTAACACAAGGTGTAGGCGCCTTGACCCTGAATGTTTGCTTAAGGCATTAAGGTTTTCAGGTAAGTCCCCCTTCTCTCCCTTTTCTTATTCTTTATTTCATAGGTCCTCATGGTTGTATGGCAGCGAAGCATCAGTTCAAATGGCTGATGTACTGCTGTTGATGATGATGATCTTCACGTAAAACCTAGCCATGGGAGACAACAGGTTTACGGGTTATAAGCTCACAGCTCGATTGGCGTAGAGCACGAGTGCCACGCATTGTCTCTGACGGTGGGAGGGCACTTCCGGGTGTTCAATGGTTTGCTACTGCCCGCCTCAAGCCAGGCAGCCCCTGGTCAAATTGGTGCAAACCCGCCAAAAACCCACCTGCGTCTGGCCGTGCTCGCAGGTGTATCCTACTACGGTCGCAACACGTATATAAATCATTCCAGTACCTCAAAGGTTGGGTGTGACGGCCGTCAAGCAGATTCCAATCTGTCTCTGCAATCACATTCCCGAGCTGGATCTGCTCCCCACTGCCTTGTGAGTCAGGTTATTGAGCCAAAGGCTCCGGGCGGAGTCCCTCAAGCAAACCTCCAAACCATCCACTGCCTTGTGGGTCAGGCTATTGAGCCAAAGGCTCCGGGTGGAGTCCCTCAAGCAAACCTCCGAAGCACAACGACCGCCTCGCGTGCGATTTCCCACCAATGCAATTGTATGCCTGCGCGCAAAGCACTCAGCAGCAGGTGCTGGAACGTGCGCACACTACTGGACAGGAACTCCAGTGAGCACCCCAAGCGACGCATTGCACTGGTCACGATGGAGCTGGCACGCTACCACATCGATATTGCGTCGCTCAGTGAAACTCGGCTCGCTGAGCAAGGTAAGTTACATGAAGCAGGTGTTGGCTACAGATACAACTGGGGGGTCAACGCCGCCTCAGCACCACGTGATCATGGGGTCGAATTTGCAAAATCCGATCGCCTCCATGGCCTGCTGGTGGGTGAACCAACAGGCATCAGCGCGCGACTGATGACTGTTCGCTTATGACTCGGAAGAGATAAGTTTGCCACTTTTATAAGCATGCACGGTCCGACCATGTGTTATCCTGATGACACGCGTGATCAATTCGACATTCAGCTATCCTCCGTCATACGGTCTGTGCCGAGGAGCGACCGACTATTTCTGCTGGGTGATTTCAACGCGCGCGTTGAGCGTGATGCATCGGTGTGAACGGATGTTATCGATTCGCATGGCATTGGTTCAGCGAATGCAAACGGTGAAAGGCTGCTCTCACCGTGTGCCACTCACAGCCTGACGATCACGAACACTCGGTTTGCACTGAGTGCGAGTGATATAGCAACTTGGACGCACCCACGGAGTGGTCACACTCACCTGCTCGACTATGTCATCGTACCTCAGCGTGAGATGCGTGAAGTGCGCATGACACGTGTACTGCGTGGAGCTGAGTGTGGCACTGATTACAAATTGGTGCCGACCAAACTGTACATATATTTTCGTAACTCTATGCATTGCACTCCCGCCCAGAAAAGGCGTAAGTTTAACATTCTCTCCCTCGGTACTGTGGAGAAACGTACTGAGCTGGAGAAGGCGATAGTTGCACGCCTGTGTGATGTTGACTGCATAGCCACAGTGGGCGATCTGTGGCACCACATTCGCGACCAGGTGACAGCTGCTGCCGAGACCATCGGACGCGCAAACTGTAAGCGGCCTGATTGGTTTGATGAGAACAATGCGGCGATTGGCGCATTGGTGTCAGAGAAGAATGCAGCATTTGCTGCACATGTCGCAGACCCCTGTGATCTGGGGAAGAGTAGTCAGTTTCGCAAACTTCGACGGTGACTGACCCGAGAACTCCGTCGCATTAAAAATGCATGGTGGACAGAGAAGGCGAAGCAGATGTAAGGCTACGCCGAACGTCGCCAACACAAGGAATTCTTTGACTCCCCGAAGGCGGCGTATGGACCGAAGTTGGAGCCGCTAAGGACGCTGATCGATGATAGCTCGGGCGCTGCATGCATACAGAGTGCAGACAGAATGCAGTTCTGGCGAAATCACTTTGTCTCCTGAACAACCGTTCAGAGATTGACTGGCCTACTTTGAACGACCTGAAACAGCACGATGTGAAGATGTTTGGCGGACAAGCCGAGACTAGATGAGATGCAGACAGCACTTGCTCAGATGCGGTACGGCAAGCGCGCCTGTGCCGACGGGATCCCTACTGCGAACCTGCGTTGGTGACTGCGTGTAGATTGAGGTGTCTCTTGTGATGACGGATGCCCTTGTCCTACCACTATACATGGGCAAAGGAAGCAAAGTGTTTGTCCGAATCCTGCTCAACCGCCACGTCAGTCAGCTCGTAGAACCGGACGTGGCGGAAGAGCAATGTGGATTCCTTTCGGGTCGCAGCACTGTAGACATGGTGTTTGCCGCTCATCAGTCGCAGAAGAGGTGTAGAGAACGACACCAGCCGTTGTGCTCGCTTTTTGTTGATTTCACCAAAATATGTGATACAGTGAACGGCTAGGCATTGTGGCAGGTGCTGGGTAATTTTGGTTGTCAGCGTAAGTTTGTAAGTTTAGTTGAATGTCTGCACAATAGTATGCGGGCGAGGGTGCAGCTGAGTGGACAGACCTCGGATGACTTTGCATTTGTCTCTACTGTGAAGCAAGGCTGTGTCTTAGCTCCTGTCTTGTTTAATATTTGTCTTCACAGACTAGGATCTGTGAGACAAGTATCGGTATGCTGCTGTTCGCTGACCACTGAACTTTGGTTGCACACAGCGCTTCTGCTACTTCGGGAATGTGGTTTCGACTGACCGGCAATTAGACAGTGAGCTTCGTATCCGCGTGGCGAAGGCAGCGGCGGCATTCGGGAAGCTTGAGTATCCAGTGTGGAACAACCATCAGCTCACCATTGGCACGAAGCTGATCGTGTACAAATCCATGGTGCTGTCCGTTCTTCTCTACGGCAGCGAAACGTAGACGATGTACGGACGGGATGTGTGATAACTCGAGTGGTTCCATCAACAGTTTGCGACGTATTCTGCGCAGCGGTTGGTGCGACAGAGTTGCTGACATGGAAGTGGTGCGCCGAAGTGGAATATATGCAGTGGAAAGCATACTTTTGCTGAGACACCTGAGGTGGCTCGGTCATGTGGCGCGTATGGGTTCGACGCGGATACCGAAGCAGCTAGTGTCTGGTCAACTGAGTTTGTGGAAGCGGCATGTGGGAAAACCGAAGCTTCGTTACCAGGGCATGATCAAAGTGAGCCCGTCACGTTCTAATGTTGATTTCAGATGCATTTCAGTTGCATACTGGGTCTCTTTATTTCAGGTGGTGGCTTTGCTATATTATCCTAATGCTTTTTTATATCATATTAATGTCTACCGGAACTACGTTCAATAAACTTGCAGACGTTCTGTAAACTACTTTAGTTTACTTCGATAACAATGTCGTGTTTGTGGCATTTTCTTAAAATAGATTTCCTGACGTCTTGAACTTATCGCGGATCTTTTCGTAACCAATGTATTTTATATGCTCATTATCATTTATTATTATTATTTTTTATTTTATTTTGTTATTTGATCTCGTCGTTTCAAGTGAATGGCTGTTGCTTGATATCTCCGGTGTAGCTGCGCCCGATATGCATGTTGATAAGGTCCCTACCTGTTTATTACCCAAAACCTTGTTCATTCTGGCTCCAGAAGACAGTTGATCGGTGCTGGAGGGGACGGGGTGCACGGTCCTTGTGGCCGTGCTAGACTCAAAGAGTGGTTCTATGCGGACTATGCTCCAGTCACCACCTTGTGTGCGATTGATTCCCCAAACACAGCGTGCTTGTGTTTGCCTGTGAAGGAGTGTGAGCCGGCTTTGCTGATGAAACGTGGCTCCCATCCACATGTCTCCCGGTCTTAGTCCTCCGGGTTTACACTGGATATGGGGTGTGTGGTTGGAGCTGTGGGTGGTGCAGCGCAAGCCATCCATGGTCCCTCTGTAGGCGCAGGCGTCCTGTGGTTGGCCACAGTGACAGGCAAATCCGAAACCTGATGCCGCCAACCATATGTGGGTCGTTTCTTAACAGTTAGGTTCGCTTTCAATGTAGCGCATGGTTAGAATCTGACGTGGTCAAAAGACAGAAAACTTTCGGAAAGCACAGATTTACACAAATATGCACACAAAATGGTAGTTCTACCACCTTGAAATAAGACCAAAGCAACATACATCATCGTCGTTGGGTAGCCTGTCTGTGCCAAGGAGCTCCAACAGCTCATTCTCAAGTGAAGAAGGATTGAAAGTTTCTGGGTCATCAATATGGAATATTGAAAAATCATTGGATCCTTTTTCTGATTTCCTGTCTTTTCTTGGCATGGTAGGAAATTATTGTCAGACAGAAGCGCGAGTGTTCAGTGAAATCTGCAGTAAGCCAAGTGAGGAATAGAATTTCCACTAGGCCAAAAATGAAAGAAAATGAATGCTCTCGAGCCGTATCAAAAAACAGTCCGACCCAACATCGCACGTAAACAGTGGAAAAGGTGGCGTTGTCGGAGACCGGTTCACAAATTCAAGAGGGACTGAAACGATAGCAGAACCACATGCGTGCACCTTCTTTAGCAAATCGTTGGAGCTAGAAGACTAGAGTAGTGTAATAGCTATATAAAGCTAAAACAAAACATCCGCATCACACCATGGCCAACCAACTACAACTCATGCATCCCGCACTAGCAGCCCATGGTATATATGTAACAAAAGAATAAAATAAACAAGTGTTATTTATATGAGAAAAAGATCAAGAGATGAGAAAACCTTGAAAAAGGTAAAAGCTGGAAATGGAATGCGATCGGAAGAAGGAAATGGCATGGTGTTACAACCCAAGTAACTTCCACAGTAGCATTCAACACCCTCAGGCGTAGAATCCTTAACAATATGCTCTGGAAGCGGGTTTCATAGTTTGTTAACTTGGTGTGATAGGCGAGATTGTCCCAACCCAATCAGAGCGCAATTTGTGTATCTTCATGCACTGACTGAGGGGGCTGCGCATGCCAGCCCGACTCCCGCGACGTGCGTTGTTTGTGCGCTGGAGGGTGGATGGAAGAAGAGGAGGGGTGGTCAAGCGATGAATTGGTGGAGAGCAATGAAGGCCCTTACTTCGACGATGGTCTCGGTTGGAGTCTCTCGGCTCCCTAGTTGGGGTCCGAAGGACGATGAACACGTTTGGCTGGATACACTTACGGATATGGCTAGGGGCCGACCTCAGTGGCGCGTGTTGTGAGTTTCTTTGTCCCTCCCCATCCCTCTTAGCCACCACTCCAACCGCAATCGCATATTTTATCATGATAAAAAATCGTGCACAATACTTTTGATGCATAGTAGCCGGCCGGTAGCTTTCCGGAACGATGCCCATCCGTTACTGGTAGCTCAACTGGCGTGCATCTCTCGTACGTTAGTTTTCTTATGTTTTGCAGGACAATAGCTGAGGTGTTTTCCACCTCTAGCTATGTATAATAAATGAGTGAATGAATAGCTATATAGTCCAGCTAGAATGTTCTCCGCGGGCATTATATGGAGATGGACAAACCGCGGTCCGATCGGATTAGGGCGGAAATTCAGCTGTTACGCCGAGTCATCGAGCGCTGGAACGTGCCTCCAAAGTTGTAATCAGGGAATCTACGGCTAAGGAGTTTGAGCATCAAGTTGACGCTCTTGGGTGACAACACGAAACAATTCCCTTTTCCTTGGTAACTCGCATCTTCACACTTCGATTTTCTTTACATTCCTTCATGCAATGGTATTATCCTCTTATTTCAAGTGAACTTCCTTATTCTGTATCTTTGATTTCTCTTGCTATCCTTCGCTTGTTCCACGTGGCTGCCAAAGCAGGGACTGCTAACATAGGAAACGTGGACATTAATTGAATGACCAGGGTGTGATACGAGTGTTCCGTCTTAAAGCCATCAAGAACTGCGAGCACCTCATCAATTCCTGGCACAATGATCCACTCAAGAGGAAACACACGGGAGTCTCCTGTCGTTTTAATCCCACCTGAACTTGGACTTGACGAGCGGAGCAATGAAAATGAGTAACATGATCTGTACGTGGAATTGCCAGTCTATACATATACCCACGGGTGACCGAAATATCTGCAATGTTGAACATACACCTCAGATGAAGAAAGTGCCCCAAGTGAAGGATTCCGAAGGTCATAATGAGAACAACTTTTAAATCTTGTGTACACCAAAGTAGGAAGGCGAAATTGTTGGTACCTTTGTTGGTAGGATAAGCCACGAAGTGTGGGAATAAAGCGAGTGGTTAGGTGCTGCACCTTCTCTAGTTTCTTCATCTCGCCATCTGTGTTGGGATAATAGTCCGGCGCACCGAATTCCAACAGCGCGCGTACCAACGCCGTAGAAACCGTCTAACGAAGAGCGATCGAGGGACTATCGGGCCGCTGCATTCAAGTCAAATCAAAACTGCTTTATACACATTTAGCGAGCGAATATTCAGCTACAACACACTCGATCTCAGAAGTATACCAAATACAAGCAATTACAGAAAAGTACCATGAATCGATTTGATAAAGAACGGACAAAACCGACATTACACTGCGAGCCGGGTGGTTAGGTCTAGAACTAGAGTTGAGGTCTCGCAGAAAACGCGAAAGGTAAGAGATAACCGACGAGCGGTAGGCTTATGTGCGAGCATAAATCAGCTTGTACTTCCGCCTAGTAGACGAAGTTGACAGATAATCAGATGAAGGGTTGTGAAGCAGATGACTAGTAGTTTAGAGTATCAGCCAAATAGTTTGATGGCTGTGTTGCTTCACTGTATCACTGGATTGTAGAGAGCAGAAGGAAAGTCCTTTGTCGGCACCTTCACTTCCCGATCATTGCGTGGAATCCGCGAATCGTTACGAAACGGTATTCCACAAGGGACCGTAACAGCTACAGCGGAAGAAGCAAGGTCCCAGCGCACTCATCAAGTGAGAATCCAAAAGTCGCTTAAAACATTCCTCAGTCTGGGTATCGTTCCAGTCATTTACAACGCGGTTTGATAGAGCGAAAGAGGAGCAAACTCTATATTCTGGTTTTAAATAGTTTCCAGTTGTGCCTCCAAGTTGAACTGTTAGTGTTGACTTGAGACGTCTTTTGATGGAAGAAAAACGAACCAAGGTCGTTTAGGAGATTCGTTGTTGAATATTTGGACTTCATCGGCTATGACGTTCAAATGCTTGTCATGTTGTAAAGGAGTTAATTCGCACTCCAAAGCCTTACAGTGCACCATCTGCGATGGGTGGACCCACATAGCTTGCTGTGGAGTCTGCCCTGAGTAGTAAGAATTTCCACTGCAATCCAACTTTCTGGGCCTACATTTCTTTAGCGATCTGCGCCGCGTTACGACAAGCAACAGATGATGTCTTGACGGACTGACTGCGCTCAGCCTGCTCAAACCGACATGAACATCGCTGCTGTCTCGCTACCAACTCCCTGCCTTACCTCGTGTGTTTCTGGTGCAGCTACCCCAACGGGTAAGCGTAGCCGAGCACCGTCCACCTCACCTACGGGGACGCCGACGGCTGTTGACTAGAGTAAAGAGCCTAAGATCAAGAAGTACGCAGAAGTGGTGAAGGAAAACGTACGAAAAAGTGAACGTAAAAGCAAGGCAGGAGTTAGGCTAAAATCCAAGTCGACATCACCGCAATCCTAGTTGAAATTGGTTCTCGAAAGAATCGGTTAACTGGATACACTGTTTAAAAATGGACTACCTATTCAGAAGCCAAGGATCCATGACAACGCCAAATGGCCATCTCGCGACCGCTGCCTTATAATCGTGAATGTAGCCGAGTCGACCAAGGCCACTCCAGCTGAAAGGATTTTAGGTGACCAGGAGTTCCTACAACGGATGATCTCTTTACTGTTTGATGAAGGTGAACAAGGAGTCAACATTGGTTCAGCATTCCGTCTCGGCAAGAAACAGAAGGACTCCTCAAAGGTCCGTCCACTTAGGATTGTCAAAATGATGACGTGGCCCATCGCATTCTTCGACGAGCTCCGCGACTTAAAGGTGAGTGAAAATGAAACAAGCGGCTGACGAACTCAAATTCCGCCGAGATAACGGTGAAACGGAATTGCATATTGTGGATTTTCACGTAGTCCGAAAAACTACAAAAATTCGCTGGAAACCACTTCTTGTCATACCCAGGCGTTAGAGGTGAAGAACAGATTGCGCGTAATTTTCGCTAATGTGTGCAGTATTAGAAACAAACTCGAAGAAATTCAACTTTTTGCCTCAGGTAATCGTCCTGACATAATGGCTTTCACCGAGACCTAGTTGTTTTCGGATATTTTGGACTCGGAGGTGCAGATCCCCGAATATCATCTCTGCCGGGATGACCGCCAAGAAGGGAGATCTAATGGCGGTGTGATTCTGTACTGGAATGCGGACTTCAAGGCTCATCTAGTTGAAACTACTTTTGATGGTAATGGTAGGTCCGAAGCTATGGTGTCAGGTTCATAATGGAAGAAGATCCCAGATGATCGATGTGATCTACAGAGCTCCATTTGGTTCCGGAGCTCGTCTGCTGAATTTTACTTAAAGGCATGGTGGGGGAAAGGACGGTGTACTAGTTGGAGATTTCAATACCCCAGGTGTCGACTGGAATTTGCTGCACTGCGCCACTTTTTCAGACGTTTTCGCTGCGGACTTCTTGGAAGCTGTTATCGAGTGTAACCTACTACTGTGCCTACCCGTATATTTGTTGGATAGACACCCCATATTCTCGAGCTCGTGCTTACCAGGGCGCAATCAGATATTGCGGACATTAACACAAATGGATAATAGTTCGCTATCGAAAGTATTGCAGCGAGAATCGGCAGGTTGCAAACGTTTGGAGAATAATGACAACTGCCAAGCGTCAGCCAGCTTTTGTTGTAAGGCCACCCCAAGTGAGACGTCAGAAGTGGGGCTGCCGGGTCGTGGTGCGCTATAGAAGCTATGTTAGCGATAGCTTCTTTCAAAGCCTGAAAAATGACACGTACTGCAGCAGGAAAATGGAATTTCTTAAGCTTCCCCCGGAGAAGGTCCGTATGGGGTTGCAACAGCGAAGCGCAACTAGGTATGAAACGGCGATAAAAATTAACGAGGCTATCAAAACATCTTAGCTGTTTGAAATAGTGAGGCTCGAGATAGTCGACCATGGCCTTAAGTTTATCCTGTAGTAGCACGACGCCTGTAGGAGAGATATGGTGGCCGAGAAAACTGACCAAATCGACACCTAACGAACACTTTTCTGCGTTGATCGTCACCCCGTGTTGAGATAAACGGTCAAAAAGCGTTCGAACGTGGCGTAAGTGCTTTTCGCGTGAGGAGCTCGCGATTAGGATATCGTCGAGGTGGGTATAAACGAAGTCTAGGCCGCG